CTCCTCCTCCTCCTCCTACTGCTACTACTACTACTACTACTACTACTACTGCTACTACTACTACTACTACTACTACTACCACACATACTACCACAGACTACCACTACTACGACTACCACTACGACTACGACTACGACTACGACTACGATTACTACTACTACTACTACTACTACTACTACTACTACGACTACTATGGCTACGCCTGCGAGTACGACCACGACTACGACTACAACTACTACTAGTACTAGTACAGGGTACGGCTACTACTGATACTACTAGTACTACTAGTACTACTAGTACTAGTACTACTACTACTACTACTACTACTACGACGACGACGACGACGACTACTACTACTATTACTACTCTGACTACAAGTGCGAGTACGACGACTACTACTACTACTACTACGACGACGACTACTGCTATCACTATCACTATTAGTACTACTACTACTACTACTACTACTACTACTACTACTACTACTACTGCTACTAAGACTACGACTGCGACGGTACACTACCACTACCACGGCGACTAAAACTACGACTACTACTACTACTACTACTACTACTGCTACTACTGCTACTAATACTACTACTACTACTACTACTACTGCTACTACTACTCGTACTGCTACTGCAACTACTGCTGCTACTACTACTACTGCTACTACTACTACTACTACTACTACTACTACTACTACTACTGCTACCGCTACTACTGCTACTACTACCACTACTACGGTTACCACGACTACTACTACTACTACTACTACTACTACTACTACTACTACTACGATTGCTACTACCAATACTACAATTACTAATACATCTACTACTGCTACTACTACTACTACGACTACTACTACTACTACTACTACTACTGCTACTATTTCTACGACTGCTACGACTACTACTAGGACTACTACTACACCACTGCCACTACCACTACTACTACGACTACTACTACCACTACTACTACTTCTACTATTACTACTACTACTACTACTACTACTACCACTACCACTACTACTACTACTACTACTACTACTACTACTACTACTACTACTTGTACCATTACTGCTTCTACTACTCCTACCAGTGCAACTACCATGTCTACTACTACTACTACTACTACTACTACCACTACTAGTACTACTACGACTACTACTACGACTACTACTACACTACTTGCTACTACTACTACTAACTACTACTACTACTACTACCACTGCTACCACTACGACTACTGCTACTACCGCTAATGCAACAACTACTACTACTACTACTGGTGCTATTACTACTATTACTACTACTACTACTACTACTACTGTGACTACTACTATTCTACTACTACTCCTACTACTACTACTCTACTACTACTACTACTACTACTACTTCTACGACTACTACTACTACTACTACTACTACTACTACTACTACTACTACTACTACTAGACTACTACTACTAATAATACTACTGCTACTGCTACTACTACTACTACTACTACTACTACTACTACTACTACTACTACTACTACTACTACTACTACTACTACTACTAGTACTACTACTACTACTACACTACTACTACTACTATACTACTACTACTACTACTACTACTACTACTACTACTACTACTACTACTACTACTACTACTACTAGTACTAGTACTAGTACTAGTAACTACTACTACTACTACTACTACTACTACTACTACTACTACTACTACTACTACTACTACTACTACTACTACTACTACTACTACTACTACTATTACTACTACTACTACTACTACTACTACTACTACCACTACTATTACTACTACTACTACTACTACTACCACTACTACTACTACTACTACTACTACTACTACTACTACTACTACTACTACGAGTACCCCTTTACCACGAATCATAACACTGCGACTGTGACTTATACCAGTAGTGCTGCGACGACGGCGAATACATCGAAAATATGCCACGCGCGTGCTATGCCCTGGGCGACCTCGGCGGATAGCGCCCGCGCTGAGGGACCACCCCCTGCGCAGCCCTTAAGATTTCGAAAATATACCACGCCCGCAATGCCCTCGACGACCGTGATAGATAGCGGCCGCGCTGAAAGACCAACCCTTGCGCACACCCTACGATGTCCAGAATATGCCGCGCTTGCGATGCCATGGACGACCGTGACGGGTAGCGGCCGCGCTGAGGGACCACCCCCTGCGCACCCCATATGGTGTCGAGAATAGGAGGTGAGGGGGTGCGATCGAAATGGAACGGAGAGCCCCCCTACCGGGAATTCGTGTTCGTGCGTGCCGTGCGTGCGGGCGAAGCGAAGCTGCGTGGGCGGGCGAGAAAGTCTCCTCCGGCTGAAGATCGGCCGGACCAAATGATTCCTTTCCGGGGGCCGGTGGCCCGCGAAGTCCCGCCGGTGTCCCGCCTCCGGCTGAGGCGCGGCCGGACCAAATGATTCCTCTCCGGGGGCTGGTGGCCCGCGGTGTCCCGCCGGTGTCCCGCCAGTGTCCCGTCGGTGTCCCGACG